TGGATGAGCTTGTTATGTAAGCTACTGCTGCCTAACGCTAATCAAGTAGTGGTGCTCGAGATATTCCTGAAGCTTCCGATTGATCCATCTTTCCATTACTTCAGCTCAGATCACACAAAGCAGAGATGAGACGGGCTGAACATAAGAAACCTTCCATCCCTCTAAGTAAGTAGTGGATTCGTAAGATAACTGAAAGAGACGTGAAAGAAGCTCCGCTGTTCACATCTTTACAACAATAGCAGAATCGAGTGAGGAGCAGAAGTTATGTAGCTGTCGGGCGACAAGGGTACCCGTCTTATACCTGATCGTTACATCCCGTATAGTGCAGAGCTCTTGGAATCGACGGCATTCAAGCGTTGCGAGAGACGTACATGGTGAAGTTGTCCAGTACTGGCGCCTTAGTTAGGGTTACCAGATGGGATGATCAAAATATCTGGCCGAAAATTCCCAAAGTCCGGATTTTGGGATTATGACCGGGACAAATAAATATTACGAATTAAAAAGTTATGTTCTATCATTAAAGCTAAAGTTATTACAATATAATACTTTTTTGGCAAGTTGTGAGATTGCAAATGAAACATCTGAGCTCACAATGTGAGGCAACTAAAACATAGGTACTTATTCAAATCACCGGTGCCCTTTGGTGTATTGAAAAAAATTTAAAATTCAGACAATATTGATCAAAGTTTAAACTTAGTAATAGTTCGGCTTTAATTAAATCTACTATCATTTTATTTCCATCTTTGGTATACAAGTCATTTCGTCGATTGGGGTGACATTGATCTCAAGGGGCGAGTTTGATCACCAGATCATTTTCTCAAAAGTTTGAGTTTAGCGCCAGAACTAGCGAACCACTCACACCGAAAGATAGTGCGTGCATCAGAGGAAACATGGCCGCAGATACAGTATGCCTGCAAGCTAGCGGTGCCGCTTACTTAATGTGAAAAATCAGTGTTTTTGAAGGTGTCATTTTTGGGGCAAGGAGTAACTATCTGGAAATTTGCCAGGTAAGTTAAAGTGCTGATCTCTATTTTTGTTTACGTCTTACTAGGCATGTTTGTTGATATTTTGAGGTTATGGTGTAGTCGAGCGGGAATGAACAGTGCAGTGCTTTTCATAATATTGAGATATTTAATGGGTGGGGTCAGATTGTTCGCCTAGACGGGGCGAGATTGATCAATTTTCAGTGATCAATCACACCCCATCTAACAATATATGTACATTTATTTTTGTATTGTTAATGGAGTTATGATTAGATTCAGCTATAATTTTATTGTTTCTTACAGTTGAAGGGTCCCAATCATGCCGAGGAATAAAAGAACACTTGGATCACGCCGTTATGTGGATTATGCCCCAGAGACCCTAGAAGCTGCTCTCAAAAAGGTGGTAGAAGATGGATGGTCCCTCCGTCAAGCATCGGCTGCACATAATATCCTTTTGGAGGTCTAACAGTTCTTTCAGCTGCCGAAGAACATGCCTTCGTAAAAGCAGTAAATATCTGCTCAGATTGGGGGTTCCCACTCACGCTTACTGGTTTGCGCTATATAGCTAAAATCTGTCTGGATAGTCTGGGTCGCATTATAGGGAAGTTTAGAGCCTGAAACAGATTGGGCTCGTTCTTTTTTACGACATAAGAAAGATATTAGCCAAAAAGTTGCATCGAACATCAAGTGAGCACGGGCTAATGTTTCAAGGGAAGATATCGTCCAATATTTCGAAAATTTGAGTGAAACATTAAAGGATATCCCAGCTTATAATATACTCAACTACGATGAAACAAATGTGCAGGATGATCCCGGAAAACAAAAGATGCTGTTTCGGCGTGGTACAAAATACCCTGAAAGGATATGCAACTTTGCCAAAACTGCTACTACCATAATGATGTGCGGGTCGGCTTCTGGTGTGCTGCTTCCACCATACGTTATATATAAGGCTGAGAAAATGTGGAAGCAGTGGATTGAGCTTGGTCCCAAGGGCGAGCCTTGCTGCAACAATAGATGCCTCAGTGTAGGATCGCGATATAATCGAACCCAACATGGATGGATGGATGCTCAAATGTTTACAGATTGGTTTGAATCAGCTTTTCTTCCTCATGCAAAAACTCTTCCTGGTCGGAAAGTGTTAATTGGAGACAACCTGACGGCAGTGTAGAGAAAACGATGTTGCTTTCGTTTCCTCCCAAAATGTTCGCCCTTTCAAGATAGTTTGGAGGTCTTCCCTAACAAAATGGAAGAAAGCTCATCCCCATCAGTCTACTCTAGATAAAAAGGATTTTCCCAGTGTATTAGCTTCTACCCTTGTAGAAATAAACCAAAAACATGAGAATGCTATAAAGAAAGACTTGATAAGCTCATTTCGTGCAACTGGTATAGCTCCTCTGGATGCTGCGAAAAATTACAAGCTAAACGACTGATATGAATACTGAAGACTCGCTGGGCAACGTTCTTGTGGAATATCTGCAAAAGCAGCGTTTTACGGTAGGACCATCAAGAAGAAATATGAGGCGTCGGTAGAGCCTGGAAAAAGTGTTGTTCCAGATGAAGAATCCAGTGACTCAGAAACGAACGACGATGCTCAAACTAATGATAGCTCTAGTGAAAACTTATTAGAAACCATCACCGCACCGAAAACTAAATACTTTGAACCAACAGAAATAGATATACTTCCTGGCAAATTTCTTCAAGTTAAAGTATGTGGTGGATCTAGAAAAAAAACAGTTTATCGATATGTTGCCATGGTGCAAAATGTGACCGAGAGTCAAAATGTTCGAGAATTCGAGGTGTTGGGATTAAAGTCTGTAGATGGATCTAAGAATAAATTTAAAGCTCAAGATGGCGATGAATTTCTAGTGGATTTTCCAGACCTAGTAGCTGTGTTACCGGATCCTGTCGTGGAAGATCCAGACGGGCTTATCACCTATCGTTTTGAAAATATGATAGATATATTCGAAATGTAGTTTTTCTTTTTTATATTCTACCTCAACTGTTAGGAGACTTATTTAAGTTATTTGTATTAGTTATAGATATGGGCAAGCACCTATTTCCAAATGTGAAAATATTTTTTGTGAGGTATCTGGAAAAATAAAGGTTGTTTATCAACCAAATAGGTGTTTTTGGCCATTATTTACTGGAACACGTAGAATAAAATACAGTTGATCAATCTCACCCCACCTACATTAAAATGCTCTAACTGTGTAACCAGTTGAAATATAATCACAAGAGTTGAGGTTATTCATTTAGGAGCCTGTACCCTCATTTTGAATGCAATTAATACTATGTGAACAATCTCGCCCCAAAACAAGTATGAAATTGATCAGCTGTTTTCAGTTCCGTTAGGGCTATAGTTTCAAACACTGGTGTTCTTTGCATCTGCTGTGCCATTCTTACCCATAATATGTATCAGATTCGATCATTATAGCCGAATAAAATTTTGACACAAAGAAAATAATACGAAAAATTTGATTGTTTTGATCAATTTCCCCCCAAATGACGGCACTGAACACCCTTTCACAATAAGCATTATTCATTGAGATTGATAAGACAAAATACGCATTTTTTTTAAATCTTATCCCATTTTGGTGATATTTTTAAAAAAATATGCAAACATTTGATTACTGGACATATTGTCTTTGTGTCTTGGCATGTACCAAGCGCGTTTCATCCAATCAAATGAGCAAAGTGATTTTTTTGAACCGCGGAATTTAAAATTTCCGTAATTCTAAGTTTCGGTAATTTTACATTTGAGATTTTTCGAGACAATTTGTATTTTGTCTGAACTCTTGATATGATACGAAATGTCAGGACAATCCTGACTAATCCCGACCATCTTAGAACCCCGGACTTGAAGCCGTTCCATCCTGGCATACAAGCGGTGGAATGGTACTTTTTGAGAATTTTCGCTCCACCGCCATTGCGCTATGATGTAACCGAGTTTTTTGTAACATACTGGTCTTTGACATTGCCCTATCACCATAATGTAAATTGAGAGCACATTCACCATAATCTAAAAAAATTAAGAATTCAGACGAGTGCTCTGCTAAATAAATTTGCTCTATTTACTGTATTTAAGGCTGTGGTCGCCAACCTTTTCAGTGCGTTGAGCTACTTTTATAATTTTGGAATAAACAGTGAGATACCTAGTTGTAAGCAATGTAAGCCAACTTAAATGAAATTATTCACAGTTGTATGCGACATACATGTGTTTACTTTACTAATACTAATAAACTTAAATAAACTAATAACTAATACATACTACATAACTACATCCATTCCTACTAATCGCAGGTGTTTGAAAAATAAACAAATTTTTTTGTTAGCTACATGTCATATACGATTTAATAAAGGTAACTAAAAATTAAAAAAGCAACGCACTATTTTAAACAAAAACATCTCCAGATAAAAAATGCGTATTCAGTGAGTAGCCTGACACTCAGACTCACTGACGATTTTTTTATTGTTTGGAGTATAATTTGATACCGCCATTCTAATGCAATTATCCAAATGTTCATCTGTAAGTCGATTACGGTATTTGTTTTGGATGAACTTCATATTTGAAAAAGAAGATTCACACAAATGGCTTGAACTAAATAATTCTTTCACTTTCAAGGCAACACGACATAAAACTGAATATTTATCTTTACTTACTGAAGGCCAGATACATTCTGTATTTGAGACTAATCATTTATCACTATAGCAATTTCGTTGAAATCCTTGAAACGATTTTAGAAGCTATCTTATCCTTCAAGTTAGAGAATATTTCTCATGATATCTACTGTCATATGGTTCTAACGGACTTTGAGATATCTTTTCTAAAAGAACAGGAAAATGCCTGGTATCACCATCGATTAAGTTTTGTTCCTAAAATTCAAGCTTTTTGATGAACGCTTTTATATCAGAAATCATTTCTACTAGTTCTCAGTCTCTCCCTGAAGCTGTAAGTTAAATTCATTTAATTTTTCTGTAATATCCACAACAAAAACCAAAATCTCTAAGCCAGATTGAATGTTCCAGTTCCTTAATCGGTTCGTCACGTTGTTTGAAAAATTGAACTATGGCAGATATAATATCATTTCAGCACTCGTCCCCTTCATAACCATCGGACTTCAGGGTGAAAAAGTAGCCAGTATTGACAGTCAATTTCATCGGCCAAGGTTTTGAATAATCTTCCTTGTAACGCTTGAGCTCTAATTTTGTTCACAATTTTTAATTTAATTACGTTGTTTAGTTTTAGAAAATGTTCGCATAATGCTAGCAGTGGTAACAGAGAAATTGCTGAAAACATTCATCTTTACGACATAACCACACGAGACCCTTATCATGACCCACCATAGCTGGAGCGCCATCGGTTGTCAAGCCTACCATTTTCGATATTGGAATTTTCTCAGAAGAAATATTATTTTTAAAAGAAGAAAACAAGTCCTGCCAGTAGTCTGCTCTTTTAGTGGAATAAGCCTCAAAAGATTTTTTTTAACCGTAAAATCATTAAAAACCATCCTGACGAACACGGCCATCTGAGAAGTGCCAAAGACATCTGTGGATTCATCCAGCTGCAGTGAAAGAAAGCGCAGTTGTCGAAGTCTTTTCTTAACTGTAAAACTACATCATTACTTTGACTCGTCTTATCACTGTATTAGCAGAAAGTTGCATAGATTTTATAGCAGACACTATCTCGTCTTTATTTCTAAAGCTATCAAATAAAGAATCTGCAGCTTCTAAAACCGCCTGTTTTATCATTTCTGGGACAGCCGGTATGATGCTTCAATTGCAGTCTGGCTTTTAACGCTTTTACATTTAACGTCTGTAAAGAAATATTGTTCTGATATTTATATGTTCCTATTTGTATCTTCTTACTACTGCTCATAATGTGTTTAATTGCAGGTCAACTCTAACCCAATTGCTGGACTTTCTGTGTATTTATTCCGTTCAAAGTAATCGAGATCGTTCTCGAACAGATCGCTCACCGCAATGTTGCCGCTGCTTGAGAATTTACAAAATTTATGAAAGTTTCTATGATTTTTACACCTTTTCGAAACATGTTGTGAACCATCAGAATTGCCTTTGGAGCTACTGGTAGCTCGCGATCGACGGTTTGGCGACCACTGATTTGAGGTTACACTGTATTTAAGGTTACCCTCAAAATTTTTAGACCCAGTCATGTTGGTACAGTTTCCTCTACACGTCAGAGGTCCAGTGTTTGGGTTTGTACGAGTACGTAATTCGAGATTAAATCCAATTTGAACGGGTTGTATAGGCTAACATTGTCTTGTAAGCTCCGCAGTGACGGCGTCATTTTATACTTGTTATGTTTTAGCAGTATGACATAAGGATACTAGATATATGTATCCCCAATGTACCAGGAGTAACATATGCAACTGGGATATTGCGGCACGGCTGATCAAGTAATATCTGGTAAGGCGCAGCTCTTACCACCAGCTTGCTTCTATAGATGAAATTAAAAACACAATACTACGTACAAAAGATATTATTACAGTATGGAGCGGGGCAGCACTACAGATAGAAAGTTATAGGCCAAGGCTGCCCAATTTTGTTAACCGTTGGACAAAACGGTTGATTTAGTCAATTTTCAGCGGCCCACTCGCGATTTTTATTTTAGTTACTCTTAGAAGGTATACACTAAAAATCCAATAATATGAAATGTATTTAATTATTGTTCCGTAAAATAATAAAACAAAGAGGATCTTGCAAATCACACAAATACGTTCCACAGACGTTTCCGAAACGAGCGACTTATTTCATACTTCGAGACTCTTATTGGTCAGTTGAGAAGATTGATCAAGGAAGCACTCAATAACACAATAACTTATTCATTATTCCGTATAATATGGAAATAATTAGACTCTACAAAGCAACTTATAAGAAGTACCTGAAGTCCAACAACATTCTCTAACATCAATGTACGGGGGGCCGATATGTAACTGACTGGTTTGTATCTTGAATATTTGTGAAATGAAATAAAATACGTCCAATTTAATAATAATAATAATAATAATAAAATAAATGGGCTTTATTTCGTACCTAAGTAAAAGTACAAAAAAGGCGAAGTGTCGCTAAAATTAGCGTTTTTCAACTTCAACCTTAACCTTAACAAAAAAAAATATATATATATATATATAATAAAACATTCTACCAACAAATAATTACTAAATAATTAACAACACAGAACAATTACAAGAATAGTCCATATTTCTAGCATTTTGTACTCATCATCAGACCTCGACTTGTAGTTTTAGTTTAAGCCTCTTTATAGTTTTGGAATGTAACAGGCAGATCATTGTATAATTTAATAGCATTGTAGCTGAATGATGTTTTGTAGACAGCCTTAGAATGTAACGGTATCACTAACATATTCCTATTCCTTGTATTCAGTTGATTTATGTCACTACATCGTGTTAACTTATTATGCAAATATTGTGGTTGTTTGGTAGCTAAAACCTTATGTGTGAGTGTCAATAAGTGAAGCTTTTGCATGCCTTTAATCTGCAGAATACCAAGTTCCTTAAATTTATGAGAAATATGATCAAACTTTCGTATTCCGCAAGAAAATCTGATGCACGAATTCTGAATACGCTGTAATTTGCTTTGTTCACTATATGATAGAGCTGCGCCACATATACTGTCACAATAACTGATTTTTGATATAATTAATGTTTCACACAGTTTCAGCTTTACTGAAGTAGATATTATTTGCCTATGTGGATAAAACTGTTTCAAAATGCAGTATGATGCACTACATAACGAATTTACGTGTTTTTTGTATTTTAGTCCTGTGTCAATCCAGAGTCCCAGGTTTTTACACTCATTCATTATAGAAAGCCGGCAATCATAGATTTTAAGGTTAATTTCCGTTTCGATCAATGTTCTTATGTTTTTTGAGCCGAAAACCATAACTGAAGATTTAGATGGATTAATTTTTAGGTTATGCGAGCACGAGATGTCTACTAGCCTTGTTAAGTCTTCGTTGAACAATGCTTCTGCAATTTTAAAATCTTTGTGTTGAAAACTAAAATAAATTTGAGTATCATCAGCATAGTGATGGATTGTGCAATTATGGACATATTGATGGAAATCCGATATATATAGAGAGAAAAGTAAAGGTCCCAGTATGGAACCTTGTGGAACACCAAAACTTATAGCAGTTGACTGTGACATTTTCGAAGCTGTTAAGACCTTTTGATTTCTATTTGACAAATAGCAGCTTATCAAATTGACTGCAGCATCAGTAAAACCATAGTAAGACAGCTTAAGTAGCAGAATTTCAGGGTCTATCATATCAAAAGCTTTTGTGTAATCCAGCAGAACTAAACAAGTGATATTTCCTTGGTCAAGACCTCTTATAACATCATCAGTGACATTGGCTAGAGCAGTTGTTGTACTATGGTTTTTTCTTTCATCTTAATCTTTTATTGAAACTTAGCAATTGTGATCTTCTTGATTACGTTTTCTTTCACTTTTTGGTAGGTTTCGGGAGGCATATTTTCAATCGCTTCCGTAATATTGTGCTTCATAAAAAAGTTAGAAACCGTTAAATCCGGTGACCTTGGTGGCCATTTGACATCACCAAATCGAGAAATTGAACGTCCCGGTAATATTGTTCGCAAAAGATTCATTGTTTCCCTAGCTGTGTGACAAGTAGTAGCGTCCTGCTGAAACCACATGTTCTGCAGGTTAGATTGTTGGATTTGAGGAGCCAGAAAATTTTGCACATATCACGGTAGCGCTCGCTAGTGACACCTGCATAACAAACACCGCACCAAACTGTGACTCGACGAGGATGTAGTCGTCGTTGATGGATGACACGAGGCCTCTGTAATGCCCAGATACGACAATTCTGCTTATCTATTAACAAATCCGTTCATATCGAAGTGGGCTTCATCGCTCATTATCAGTTTTCGGTAAAAATCGTTATTTTGGATATTAAGCTCCAATATTGTTTGACCGAAATCTTGTCGTAGCTTCCGAATCGTTGCAGCAATCTAATTATTTAAGTAAAACATTTGAACAATACGGCGCGTTGTGGGATTGTGTAGTGCTCCATGGTGAATTGTACACATGTGCGTTAAACAACTACTACGGCGCCACCTATTGCAATGCGTGAATGACAAATGGCGCACAATTTAAATCAATCAGTTGTATATTAATAAAATTCTTAGATTATGTTTACCATACTTTATTGTTGTGTATGTACTAAGAATGTACACTGCAATTCAGCAGCAGAAATAAAGCCAAAACGTTTTGGAGCCACGTTTTTGCAACGCTCTCTATTTCTAAAAAACAAAAAATTTGAAAAAACGATTAAATCTTTATTTGGGTCGACAGAACGGTCGATATAATTTAATGTTTAAAGATTATTTTATGTAAATGTTGGCCGCGGCTCCACTTTAGATGGCCCATGCGCAAGGTCCAATTTTGGCACACTCTCTCCAACATATCGGCCGGTATCTCACGAATAAATGCTTCAATATTGGCTTCCAGTGCGTCAATCGTTGCTGGTTTATCCCTGTAGACATTAGCCTTAACATGGCCCCATAAGAAATAGTCCAACGGCGTTAAATCACACGATCTAGGCGGCCAATTGACGGGCCCCAAACGTGAGATAAACTGTTCACCGAACACGCCTCTCAATAGGGCCATTGTTTCGTGTGCGGTGTGGCATGTGGCACCGTCTTGTTGAAACCACATGTCAGACAAGTCCAGCTCTTCCATTTTGGGCAAAAAAAGTTTGTTATCATCGCACGGTAGCGCTCGCCATTCACAGTTACGTTCCGGCCATTGTCGTCTTTGAAGAAGTACGGCCCGATGATGCCACCGGCCCATAATCCACACCAAACAGTGATTTTTTCGGGATGCATTGGTAGCTCTTGCAATGCTTCTGGTTGGTCTTCACTCCAGATGCGGCAATTTTGCTTGTTAACGTACCTATTCAACCAGAAATGAGCTTCATCGCTGAACACAATTTTTCGATAAAAATGTGGATCTTCCTCCAACTTTGCCAGCGCCCATTCACCAAATTGGAAACGTTGTGGGAGATCGTGTGGCTTCAATTCTTGCACCAGCTGTATCTTATAAGGTTTTACACCCAAATCCTGTCGCAAAATTTTCCACGTAGTGGAGTAACAGAGGCCCGATTGCTGCGAACGGCGGCGAATCGACATTTCACGGTCATCACTAACACTGGCGGATACAGCCGCAATATTTTCTTCAGTCCTCAATCTACGTCTGCGTGTTGGTGGTTTAATGTCCAATAATGTATACTGGCTTCGAAATTTAGTCACAAGCTTCCGAATAGTTCCCAAATTGCCCATAAATTGGAAGCAGTGCTCGATGCACTCTCTTAACCGAGCATGAATCTTGATAGTAAAATTCAATAATTTGCAAGCGTTGTTCGTTCGTAAGTCGATTCATGGTTAAATTATAGACCAAACTGAATAAGTTTGACAATGAAACAAGACACGATTCACGCGTCGTCTGTCAAAAACAGTGTTGCTAAAAAGATACTAGCAAAAAAATCACCCATTACTACTAACCAAACCAAAGTTATATGTCTCGCGTTGTCGTCGAATAATTAAACTTCTGCATATCTGCAAGCTGAAAAAGAAAATTCTAATCAACCATGAAACATGTTATAACGCAAATAAAAAAGCATCTAGTGAAGGCAAAATTATGGAGCACCAATTAATGTAGATAAAAAGCCGTTAACTAAGCAAAGATGTGCTTACCTTGGAATTAAGTGACCTTGTAAGAATAACAAAACTCGATGTAACAGCAAACCAACGAACTGGGAGATTGGCAGAGACAAGGCGTGAGTAATTCCTTCATTCTGTTATTATTTTGTTGTAAAAATAAGATAATAACAAACTAATTAAACTAAATATTTAAAATGCCAATAAAGT